CAAGAATCTGCCCACTAGAGGAGACTCAACTTGTATGTCAAATACCAAAAGTTTCCAGCATTACAGAAACCCAAAAGAACCTCACGAACATGATGGCAGAGGACTTGACAACATCTCATTATATTATACCTAACATCATCATTTGGAAGCAGGAGTGGCATCCACTTCCGAAATGTCTTGCCTCTGGAAATTCTATGAACATAGAGAAAACAACCAAAGTTATAAAAGTGCTCAGGCTTTTGTTCATAGGGTTGCTATGAGTTGCCCATGACTCGACAGCACTTAACAACACCACCAGCATCATGAATTGGAGCCTACTGGGAAAAATAAAAAATGGCAAATTTTCCCAATGCAACACATTTCTTTTAAATTTTCTGACTATTTCTATAGTGAGTGTTGATTAAGGATCCAAGAAAAATGAAGTCATTGACAATGTCAATCCTTTCTCCATTTACGACGATGCTGCCTACTGGTCCAGTGGTAACGATTTATGTTTTCATGATGTTAAGATGTGACCTATATGGAAAGTTGTAGTGTCTTATCTTCTTCTATACTAAGGAAAAGTAGGAAGAAAGATCAAACAATCTAGTTCCAAAAGTTAGCTAATGAAAGGCAATATGCGGTTTCCCCTCTCCTTTGGGGGAAAAAAAAATCCACATATCTGAGCACTTAGTGGCTGTTTTCAGAAAATTATATTTTAATAAATACAACAAAAACTATTTCTTTACCATGCACAGTAGGTGAGGGGCTTCGTGTAGGCTGAAGAAAGGGGTCACTGGATACATTGGATGTGTTCAGAAAAGAACCCAGCAAATCCTGACCTGATGGTTTAGAAGGTGTTCCAAATGGGTCAAAAGCAGCACCTATAAAGCAAAAAAATGTATTCTTTTATCCTTTAAGTTCATTCAATAAATACTGAAGAATTTTCACTACTCCCAGGTCCTAGGTAAAACACATGGCAATTAGGATGATCCACTCTCCTGGATGCTCCATTGGACCAGCTTATCCATAAAATTTCATCTAGGGATAAAAAAGATTTCAATAATTTCTTGACTACACCACACAGAAATCATCTCAGCCCTGTGAACAGTGAGTAGCCTAGATTTATCAGTTAGATGAACACTAAATACAATGTAAATGAAAGTACCTTTGGCTTTTGGTCATCTTCATAATATGAAATAGGTTAATAAAAATGCAAATTAGACAAAACGATGAGGCTAACACAGATAAATCATTAAATGGAAAAACCACAGACATGCTGAATGAATTAGTAGAATGATACCAGGCAGGGAGGGTGCACTGGTATTAAGATGAAGAGCAGGAAATCAGATTAATTAGATTGTTTTCCTTCCCCCCTAGTCATCTCTGGCTCGTTTAAAAACTGAAAGGAGGGGGAAAAAAATGAAAGGCACTAAAAGGAGTACAGTGACAAAAACTGCACTCAAGTATTTTCCCTCAAACAGTCCCTTTTAACCATTAGTTAGAAATGAAGTGAGGGAAAATTCATGAAAGATCTAAGAAGACAAGAACAAAGTGGGAAGCCAAGGTTACCACAAGGTTGCAACAAGAGCTAGTAACTCTGTAGCTTCTTAGGGTTTACACTGTATTTCATAAAGACTACCTTTACAGCTCAATATCACCATGTTAGACTTATTATTTTTTTTTTTAGAGGTGCTATCAAGAAAATTCAGGAAGGCAAAGTTTCTTGCCTAAGGTCAAGTAAATAATAGGTCTGGAATTGATGCTTGGGCCTTCTGATTCCAAATTCTAAGAATTTTTCCAAACACATCTCATGCTTCTCCCACCTGAAAAACCAATGTGAGGAAAATACTTGATAGCTGCAGGTTGTTGTTGTTGTTATGTGCCGTCAAGTCATTTGCGACTCATAGCGACCCTATGCACAACAGCCCTAAACCCTGCTCTATCCTGCGCCAACCGCACTGCCTCTGACACACCCATCCCGATTACCCCAGTCACCGAGTCAATCCATCTCATAGAGGGTCTTCCCCTCCTGCACCATCCCTCCAGCCTCCCAAGCATGATGTCCCTCTCCAAGGACCCGTCCCTCCTGGCAACATGTCCAAAGTATGTCAGATGAAGCCCCAGAATACACACTTTAATTCTTTGTTACTAGAGCAAAGTACAAAACTCCCTTTAGCAACATGTAACAAGATGTTACTTCCTAAGCTTCATCTGATTAATAGGATAACTGCTTCCTGAGGCCGACCTACACATTCTAAGAATAAAACTACAATAAAATAAGTTAATGAATAAGTCCAACTTTTAAAATCCAGGTAGAATAAAAGAGTTAGCATGTTGGAGCCATCAATCACTGGAACAATGCTCATCAAGTATCTGCTGGGCAGAACTATAGCCCTGCTTAGTAGAAATGGTTTCAACTGTGCTCTTCCACACAATTTATATCCCTCATCTCATGTTATGCTAACAAAATCTTATCCCTTCTACAAAATGAGAACACTGAGCTTCACAGAAAAACTGTGAGAGAATATTGGGTTTATCCTTTTACATCTAGCTTTGACCAACAGGAAGTCAACAGGTAGATGCTAAATTATTCTCACTATGATTTGGGACAATTGAATATTAACTTATATTCCATTTTTTTTTCAGAGTAGTACAAATATTTAAAGCACTTAGATTCTAATCTAAGCGCTGACAGTTTAAGTCCACCCAAATGTACCTCAGAAAAAACCTGGAAATCTATTTTTTAAATTATTTTCTATTAGTTTGCATACTAAATTCATATACCTTGTGTTTTGTTTATGTACACTGCACTTCCTGCATTCCTCTACTCACACTGTCTTTCATAATATCTTTCATGTGTTTTAAAAAATTAATCACCATTGAGTCATGCCCATCATTATCCCATCTTTTCAGGTCCACACTGGATCTTTCCTAATTTCTCCAACTCCTCATTCTGTCCACATAACTCTGTGTTCTCAAGATTCTCACACTCACCCTCAGCACACTGCCTCCCTCTTTTCCCCCCTTTGAACTTTTGTATACATCTTAGTAGTTATCCTTCTATTTTTACAATAATGTTCTTATGCAGTATTTGTCCTTATGAGTTAGTTCCCTCAGCATAATGTTCTGTCAATCTACTCTTGAAATTAGCCTTTGAAAATCCTATGGAATACAGTTCTACTCTAACATGCACGAAGTTTTCATAACCCAAATCTGGCTCAATGACAACTGATTATGTTAGAGATAGTTTACAATAAACTAAAAGAATTAACCCACCATCACAAGAGAAGAATGTGAATCCAATGTAGAAACGTTTATTTCAAAAATAATGCTAATACCTTTTCAACCTGT